GATCGAGGTGGATATTTCTTGATATGTTCCCTAATTCTAGCATGTAGTCCAAGTAAATTTGGGTCAAAAGTAACCCAATTGCATTAAAAAAAAAATTGTACTTCATCAACTTTGTTTTTTTTGGAGGGGGGGGCTGATAAAAAATATATATATACAATTTTGCCCCAAGTATGAACTCTGAGGTGCATAATGCAAACGGAACCCCTCTTCCTTTCATTGACAGGAAGGAGTCCTGTAACACTCGCTGCTTGCCGGCACTCCTGGAGCTGGCTTGTAGTCTTGTTACACTTTCTTCAGCGTTTCCTTCACTCGGGCCTCTGTCATCTTCTCTGCCATTTGGGGTCCAGTGACAGCAAAATCCAAAAATATTTCAGAAGACTGAGTATGTGCAACAAAATGCCTGAAGCACTTTACTGATTTTAGGGAAAGCTGTCTTTGAAACTGCACTTGAAATATTACAAGGGGATATTGAACCACATCTCACACTAGCACCAAAGTCTGAGCCCAAGTCAAGACAATCTATTTTTTCAAAGCAAGGGTGCCAACAAGGACATTGGTCTCATCAGAACCAAGCAGCTTGCACCCCAAAAAAGGTGTGTGTGTGTTCGTGCATGCGCACATGTACATGTATATGTGTCGTGAGAGGGAAAGAGTGACATCTGAGACAAAACCACAATGAGACACGCCTTCATGCCCACTGGGACGGACCTCACTGCTGGGCAGGCAGTGCCGAGTCTTGATGAGGACGTGCAGGGTCAAAAGCTTCCTGGCCTGCTCCAGAAAGGAAAAGGTGTGGCTCATTTGGAAATTAACTTGACAATTAAGCAGTGACTACACAACTCAAATCTCACATAAAAACAAATGGCAATAGTAGCCTTATGTATAAGAGCGCAAAAGTAGAAGTGGCCCAATGTCCATCACTCGATGACTGTACCAACAGCATGTAACAGACCCACAGGAAAGACTATCAGTCAACAACAAAAAGGCAGGGCTGGTCATGCCACAAAGTGGACGAACCTTGAAAATGTTAAGAACACAAAAAGGCAGTCACAAAAGAATAAAGATTACATGTTCCCAGCGAACCACACATTTTAAGATGGGGAGGGGGAATGAAATGCAAGTTGATGCTATGAACCTTGCAAACCTTATGTTTAAGAAGTTTAAAAAGTTGGTTACAAAATACACATGCCACCACCTAATTCACAGAAAGTTAAAAATATGAAACAAAACAGACTGCACGATTCCTTCAACAGGGAAGGCCAGAACAGAGAAAGCAGAGAGCGGGTGCCAAGGTTAACAGTGGACGCACTCGGCCCCCACAGCACGGCTGGCAGTGTGAAACCACTGCGCTGGGCAGACCTGGCGGCCTGCTCCCACAGAGACCGGAGCCCAGAACACCGCAGGAGGCCCTTATACTCTGTGCACTGGGATCTGAAACCTGCTTCACTGAACCGAACCAGAGGGCCAAGGAGCTGGGAAACAGGAGAGAAGAGCTGCAGTTACTGGGTTTCTGGTTGTGCAGATAAAAGGTTATAAAACGGATTGAGGTGAGAGTTGATAAATTCTAAGTATACACAAAAGCCGTGGACCTCAAACAACTGAACTGAATGGTATGTGAATCGTCTCCATATATCTGTTTTGAAACCCAAACAGACCAAATGGCTTCAAAAAGTTCATAGAAAAATTCCATTTTCTTTTAACCCCATTTTCCTACGATTTTCCAAAGCCCCTTCATGTACGAAAGAAAGCAAGCATGTGGGGTTTGACTACAGAGACACCACCTGCTGTTTTCATGGTCTATGTAGGAGGCAGGTTTATGAAGTAATGGCTACAGAATCTCTAGAGCAGAGGAAACTTAAGTAACTAACCCACCTACAGGCACGAGAATCTTCCATATTGAATAATGCTCACGTGGCCTATATAGAAAAAATTTATCTTCCAGATCAAATGCTTCTAGTTTTACATTACTAGTTTCCTAATATAGCCAGTCTGGCATACTACAAGACAGCAGACTTCAGAATGAGATGAATCTTGGGCCAAAACTTCACCTTTGTCCCGTTATGCACCTTAAACAAGCAACTTAACTCACTGGAGCATAACTTCTTTTATTTGGTTAAGATTGTGATAATAACTTACTTGAAGATAATCTGAGCTAAAGAACCCAGTAGTAGGATTTCAAAATAGCTGTTTCTAGTAAGGAAAGTTAATTTTGCTATTAACATAAGATCACTAAGAGGTGGCAGTCTGCTTTGATGGAGACTCACAGCCCTGGACACCCGACAGGACAGCTCTGCCCGACACTGGAGCATCACTATGAGTCAGAATGGACTCGACCAACAGCAAGGGGTTTGGCTTTGGGTGG